TATATATATATATATATATATATATATATATATATATATATATATATATATATACACGTTGTATTTGTGCTGATATATATATATATAACAAAGCTGTGAAAAATCTATTCTTGGAGCCACATGCAAACGTCGGATATAAAGGCACTCTAGAAAATTTTGCTATGCTTCCCATCACCATGATCAACATGATTACAAAAGAAACAGCTGAATGAAATCATTAGTTGAATGATTTCTTCCTGAAATTAATGGCAGAAAGCCCAGCAGCCTCATGTCTGCTAGCCAGTAGGGTCATCTGAGGGTGAAAATATACAATGTTCAGGTGTTGAATTACTTATGAGAATATACTAGTGTATGTGTCTCAGTGTGTGTAAAGTTGCCATTGTACACATGCATCTTTCCCATGTGTACGTAAGTCTACTCCAACCCTTGAGATTGAACATGTTACATTTTGAATTTCAATTAGTGGAAACTCAGTTTTAACCATTTAAAATTAGATACATAAAAGCAGAGATGTCCACAGAGTAGAACCCCAGGGCAGAAATTTAGGACTTTCTCAAAATAATGAGCAAGATCTTTTTCACAATGTTTGTACTAGGGTGGTTTATTAATTCCAGAATCAATATTTAATCACTTCTATGAACTTCTACTGAAAAAACTTGAATTAATATAACTAATTGCATGTTGTTGTTTTTTAAAAAAATCTGCATTCCTGAACAAATGACTAGATGTCAAGGATACTGTTTATTATAAATATTAATAATGCAAAATGTAATGGCACATCAATTTTTTCATATATTAGTAGCAGCAAAGTTAGAGGAGTTAAATTTTAGGTTTGAGAAATCTGCTGGAAAGCTATTGAAAGGATCCAATAAGTTAGTATCCCTCATTTTTGGATGCCACTTGTCCTCTTGTTCTAGATGAAAATTATGGAAGGAGTCAATATGTTAAGGAAGTAGCAGGACATGATGTAATCAGATTATAAAATTGTAGATGAGACAGTTTTAAGTCACTTCCCATTTAATAGCTCTCTTAGCTCTTTCCAGAAGGCATCTTGAGGGAGGAATACATCAGACTAAAATGAGAGAGAAAGAGAGACTTAATTCTTAACCTTCCTTGTAATATGAACAAGGCAAGTAATGTTATATTAACTATCTGTACCAAAAGAAGAATTCATATGTCAGTGGTTATGCCTATTGAAATCCCTTGTTGGGAAATGTAGGAATGAGAAGACTATAAATTCAGAAGGATGTACAATTGAGAAGAGTCTGGAAATTAGTCCATCTCTGACAGAGGAGTCTGGATATAATCTGAGATAATAGAAGAATAATGCAGAAGATACACTGAAATTATAACTTTGTTTTCCAGGTCAAACATATTTCTGAAGACCCTCCTTGTAAATGCCCTAGTAAATTTTGTGTGGAGCGCCTTTCTCAGGGAAGGTATAGAGTTGGAGAGAAGATCCTTTTCATCAGGGTAAGAAAAAAAAAAGCACTATCCTTTTTGTGAAGTGAAATATGGTAAGTAAGCAAATGAGTGAGATAAATGGTCTTGAAAGAACTGTTTTGCAACCTGTGCTATCATAAAGAGCTATGCAGGAGCATGTAAAAGAAGTCAATGTTGAAGGGGCTGTGTGCAGGATGCCATCTCGGAAGTCTTACCTAGTGTTCTGACTACTTGAACACTCCCTCCCAGCCAAAATTTGTTCTCTCCATCCTGTTCGCCGAACTACTCTTTCTCCCTTTCTCCTCATTCTTTCCTCCTCTCCCCACCCTTCAATCAGTCCTGCTTCAGTTCTTGTTTTATTTAAAAAGGCATTTGTGCTACTGAATTTGGGGACCTTTAGAGCCAGCCTTCTACCTGTGCTATTTATATGAAAATCAGTCTAAAATAAAGCTCTAGTTCAGATTATATTCTCAATGTGATTGCTGTGATTGTCAAGATCTGCACACTTCTAGCCATGTTTGTTTTTAGAACATTGTTTTCTCATCAGAAATTCTAGCATCCACTGTTATAAAACCAATAGTAGTGTAGACAAGAAAGTGACAGACATATATGTGAAATCACCAAGTATTGAGCTCAGTTCAGGGGGACATTTATTTTATTTATTCATCTATTCATCCCTCATCCATGGTTGCAAGATATTCACTTCTAGATCCTACTATACTTGTGCATAAAGGCAAAGATGAAATTGAGCTCAACACACCTGGTAACTTCAAAAAATACAACTTTGTGGTTTTCTTAGTGCTAGCTCAAAAATGCTTTGACAATACATTCTTCTGCTTCCCTTCCTTCCTTTTTGAGTTTTCAGTGCAACTTGCAGGCTTGTAATCTTCTAAATGTTATTTATCCTGCTTCTGAATGTGGACAAGTTGGTCAGCTGCTTCTTCTATGATACAGTCATGAGTATTTTCCATTTTTCACCACATGGAAAATAAAAAAATACTATTCTCTTGTCTTAAAAAATCTGTGGAAGATTTATTTATTTCTAATATAATTATTATATTAATTAAATAAAAAACAAATTAAATTTATTTAAGTTATTAATTACTAGATCCTATAGTTACTGGCATCCTATAGTAAGATAGAGATTGGTCAAAATGTGAGAAATCAATTAAATAATGCAGAGAGTGAAATTATGATAAAGAAAAAAAAAGAATAGAAAGAATGAAAAGAAAATGAACGAAGGCAAAACCATATATTTAGGCTCCCATTTCAAAGTATTTTAGATATGATGGCCGAGAACTGTATACAGGGCAATTTTTGGATACATCTTCAGTTGATTGCAGATTCTTTTTTCCTTGTTTCCTTGTGCTTTTATCTGTGTATATGAATATATTTTAAGGTATGTACAAGATAGATGGCTATGTATTTTGTCTGTTCAGACAGCCAAAGGAAAAAATAATGAATTACTTTTCAAGTTTCATACTTTTGTAGTGTTTCTATGGATTAGTGATTTTATATTCAAACATGGCTCAGACTTGTTTCAGTAATAAACATTGTAAGGAATGTAATTCATCAACTCTAGGAAATCCCTGGTTCAGATGGTAAAATTCTCTTTGATTTCAATATGTATGGATTTGTTGCTCTTTCACCACCATGGTCTTTGGAACAACTTAGAGCAAAACAAGAGTGTGATATAAAATAGACCAAAAGTCAAACTAAACACTAACAACATATTACAAATTGAAGAAATGAAGCTTATTAATGATATCAGTAACAAACTATCAAGTAATTAAGAGATCTGTTGTCATAGCTTATTCACAGAACAAATATTATAGAGGCAAACCATCTCAGGTTTTATTTCAGGTAGGATAGTAGAAGAAATCCAGAGATTGATTTTCTAATAGTCCTTTCAAGCTACATTTTCATATCTGGAAAAAAAATGAGGATCTTGTCCTATTTGCTAAATAGGTGAGATTTATGAAGAGCTAGTCATAGTGGCCACAGTAGCTAAGACGCTCCATTTGTTGATCAGAAAGGTCGGCAGTTCAACGGTTCGAATCCCTAGCACCATGTAATGGAGTGAGCTCCCATTACTTGTCCCAGCTTCTGCCAACCTAGCACTTCAAAGGCATGTAAAAATGCAAATAGAAAAATAGGAACCACTTTTGGTGGGAAGGTAACGGCATTCTGTGTGCCTTTAGCATTTAGTCATGCTGGCCACATGACCACAGAGACAACTTTGGACAGCTCTGGCTCTTCAGCTTCGAAACGGAGATGAGCACCAGCCCCTAGAGTTGGGAATCACTAGCACATATGTGTGAGGGGAACCTTTACCTTCACCTTTACACAACCCACAATATGGATGTCTCTATTAGAATGAAGTTTTAATGCTTCTACATAACTGTAAAGGATCACATGGTGGAAGCTGCTTCTCAATGACAGATAGTTATTCTGTTCCTAAAGGCTCAGCTGCTTAATGCTTCTAGAGAAGCTATTGGAATGTTAAGATCTACGTAAACCTTAACCCTAAACCTAGTTCATTTTCAATGGTAATGGAATTTTTCCTGTGGATCACAAGCAACTCCAGAAGAAAAGCTGTCACTAGTGCTTTCCTAAGAAAAACACTATGAATCTATCCATAGAATTAGATTTCAGCAATGACTCCAAGTAGAGTCAATCTCAACCCTAACCCTAGTTTCATATTCAGTGCCAATGAGCTATATATATTTCTACGAATCACAAACAGCTCTGAACCAAAAGCTATCATTGTTGCTTCCCTTAGAAAACTTCTCAGAAACTATCTCTGATACTACTTTTCAACCATGGCTCCAAGCAGACATAACCCTAACCCTAACCGTAGTTCATTTTCAATGGAAGTAGAATTTTCCCATGCATTTTACTATGAACCAAAAACAACTCAGAGAGAAAAGCTATCACTGACAATTTCCTTAGAAACCCGCCAAAATCCTATCACTAGCATTAGATTTTGGGCAAGACTTCAAGTAGACCTTACTTTAATCCTAACCTTATTTTCATTTTCAATGTCAATGGGATTTTCACTTATATTTTACTGTGGACCATAAAAAAGTCTGAAGAAAAAGCTGAGGAAAGGGTCAGAAAAGGTCAAAGAATCCTTGATTCTCCCTAGTATTAGTTTTTGGCCATGACCTAAGCCTAAGCCTAGGTTTATTTTCATTGCCAATTATTTTTTTTTCATGTATTTTACTGTAGTTGACAAACAACACCAAACCAAAAAAAAATGTCATTGTTGCTTTTGTTAGAAAACTTCTAAGAACCTGTCCTTGCATTAATATTTGGCCATGATTCCAGGTAGACATAACTCTAACCCTCAACTTAGTTTACTATGGACCAGAAACAACTCCAAATGAAAAACTGTCAGCATCCCTTCCCTTAGAAATCATCTACAGTAAGAATCTATCCCTCAAATTAGTTTTCAGACATGACTCCAAGTAGACCTAAACCTAACTGTAACTCTAACTCTAGTTTCATTTTCAATGTAGGTTTTAAATATATATTGTTATTGTGGAAAATGTAAATTAGTACTACCAGAGGATTCATAATAATTTGACACTCTAATATGAGATTTTTAAAAGTGGTGGTTTTTTTTTTAAAAAAAAATATTTCTAGGAAAAGTGCATCTAGGATTTCAATTTCAGTTCACTATAAATCAGTCTCTTCAAAATTGTGCTGCTATTTCTTCTTTCAATTCCAGTCGTATTAGTCTAGAATGCAGAATTCAGAACATTTTGACATTGTTGAATGGAAGTTGCAGTAGATAGCTAAGTAGCTATCATGAAGGTTACAACCTCAGGACCACTCCCTGCTGGCATAGGGCAAAACATTTTGGGAAAGCATTATTCCTTCTTCCCTATGTTGTTCATAAAACAAATATTAACAATCGAGATCTATATCTAGAGGTTTCCCTATATTTATTTCTCAATATTTTGTTTTGCTATCCTAAAATAGAAAGAAATATTCTTTAAAATACAATTCTGTATTTATTTCTAGATAGTCACGCTTGCTTAAAACAATAAAATCTAGAAATGTATCCCAGTTCAATTCCTAAAATAACTTTTAATTTAAAGGTAAAATTAAGAATGATTCTCTGGTCTTTTTTTAATGTACCTTGTTTACTTTATTGAGAGATTTGCTCTCTGTTTGCCTTTTGCCAAGCAAATAATATTACTCAAAGAGGAAAATGGCCTTTCTCTTTTAAGCTATTTGTTTACATCCAGTTGTAGCAGAGCAAATTAGAGATACACATTACTGATTAGCAATTTTTTCCAGTTAAGGTAAACAGATGACATATATATTAGCTGTTAGATAGCTACCAAAAGTTGTTTTTTAGATCTTTGATTCCAGATGTGTGTGTGTGTGTGTGTCTGTGTGTGTATGTATGTATAGTAAACAGACAAAAAGTAACAAATAAACTAGAGAATTTCTTCATGCTTTACACACATGCCTCTTTTGTCTGTTCATACATACACACAAAGTGTGTATAGAGTTTCTCTTTGTCTCCTGTGTTATAACCAAAAAGTGTTGGATTTTGACTAGCTACTTTTCATCAATTTTGCTAAGAAAATTGTTATAAATTTAGAAGGTAGTTTGGCATGCAGTGTAGCCATTCATAGGCAATTGTTGATCGGGCAAGTTCATGTCCCGACTTGGTGCTTTTATCCATAAGTTATACTTTGATCTTTTCCTGGGCTTTGGCAGCATACTTTTGCATGCTATTGTCTATTCGTGCACCTGTGCATTCAGATAGACTGTGTGTATTTTATGAGACTGAACATTAATCATCTAGTTCATTAAGCTCAATATCCATCATGATCACCAGAAAAGGTTATTTCCTGGGCAAGCCTGCAAAGAGGTTCCATTGTCTTTAAATAGAGATTCTCTCAGGTTCAGGAAAACTTTTGGTTTCTGTGTATCCAAAATAACCTCCGATCAAGCTGTACTTTGCTTTTCTTAACAGATGAGAACTAGGTTAAGCTTATAATAAACTTAAT